TACGTGACCACAAGCATGTACGTTATGGCACGTATACCCACATTCCCTCCGTTTTTAATTTATAAAAAAGAAATAAAAGAACATGTAAACATTTTCTTTATAATTATACACATCAATATGTTTGCCATCAATGGCAGTAGCTTCAAGTGGTTTCTCTTGTACAACATTAATACAACATGAGTACATGACCACAAGCATGTACGTTATGGCGCGTATGCCCACAAAGAGCAACTATGGAAGAAGTAAAAAAGATAATCAATGCAAGGATATATCACTAGAGACCAAGATCAAGATCACTCATGCTCTTGTATTTCTGATTGCCATGTATGGGTGTGAAAGTTGGATATTTAAGAAAGCTGATAGGAAAAGAATTGATTCATCTGAAATGTGGTGCTAGAGGAGAGCTTTACAATACCTTGGACTGCCAGAAATATGAGCAAGTGGTTTTTAGAGCAAATCAAGCCTGAACTATCTCTGGAGGCAAAAAAAAAACAAAACTGAGGCTGTCCTACTTTAGACACATCATGAGAAGACAAGATTATCTGGAAACAACAATAATGCTAGGAAAGTGGAAAGCAGCAGGAAAAGAGGAAGACCAAATACAAGATGGACCATCTCCCTAAAAAACCCACAGTCTTGAGTTTACATGAGCTGAGCAGGGCAACTGAAGACAGGACATATTGGAGATTGCTCCCTCAGGGGGTCGCCATAAGACAGAGGTGACTTGACAACACATAACAACAACAACAACAACAACAACAACAACAACAACAACAACAACAACAACAACAACAACAACATTATTGATTGTACAGATCTGCTCAGTTTGGGAAGAGCAATTAGATTTAAGCCATTGACATGATTCATCAGTAACTATCTAAAGGATTTGGGAGATCATTTAATAAACATAGACTTTTTTCCAGTATGGTTCCAATCACTTTAAAACTTCATACACATATTTATTGGAATTAATGCCAACCAGTTTTCTGAGATGCAAGGATAATTTAGGCAAAATATAACAGCTAGATCCTAAGACAAAATAGATCAGCCCCTTTATCAATTTGTTTATTTCACTTCTTAAGTCAGTCAGGTTGAAGACAATAACTGTATTTTGTGGGAGTGAATCCCATCCCATCCTTTAACTCTGCACTCTTGAATACTCTGCCATTAAGGTTCAGCCAATAAACCAAGTTCCTAGTATTATGAGAGAGGGAGGAAGACTTCTCCCTATCTACTTTCTCTGTACCATGCATAGTTTCATATTTTAACGACTTTTACATCTCTGTACCATGCATAGTTTCATATTTTAGCGACTTTTACAGATTGATTGATTTAAAATATTTTTATCCTTCCTTTCTCCTTTAAAAAAGAGCCATTATGCTTAATGTTACTGGTCTTGCCTTTGTTTTGGTGCCTCTGCACCTTTTCCCCCCGCCCACATGTGATGTAGCTTTGCATGGATCAGCTGCACACCACCAGGGAGTTTCAGCAGCAGTCATGACACTGCTGCAATGCTACAACATGATCCTGCAAGGATGCCTGGCTCTTTGCACCTGCTAAACATTTGCCTTACTTGCCCCAGGATTGTATAATGCACTACTTTCAAAACTCAGTTCAGAACTGGCAAAGGAAGGATGGAAATCAGATACTCCTAACCTCCAGGATGAAGTATTTGGTGAAATTCTGCCGAGTGTTTTGAGCAGGTGATTAAGTGAAAAACTAATCCTGACTTCACAAAGCTACTGTGTTTTTGCGTAGCCTTACCTACTGAAAATATGGGAAATCCTTTCTGATCAGTATGCCGTTAAGGAACACTAAGAAGAGATTTTAAAAAATAAAATAAATAATGCAGTCATGATTAATGTGGTAGTCATTAAGGTGATACAATGGGTTTTAATTTTCAGGATGTTTTCTTTTTAATGGATTTAAGAGTTGTTTATTGCCCTAGAAAGCCACTTCTGTAGTCACGATAATCTTCTTTTTCTTTTCTTTTCCTTCTCTTCCCCCCCGGTTAAACATGTGTTTCAGGTTTTCTACAGATGGAACAGGCAAAGTAGTACCTCCATTATAGAAACTAACAAAACATCTGTGGAGCTTTCACTACCCTTTGATGAAGATTATATCATAGAAATAAAGCCATTTAGTGATGGAGGAGATGGCAACAGCAGTGAGCAGATCCGAATCCCAAAGATGTCCAGTAAGAACCTTTGTATGTATGTGTAGGTGTGTCCGTGGTCCCATATGTAAAGCACAGAGAGAGAGAAAAGTTTTTCTTCTACATGTGCACCTTCAAACTGAATTCTCAGACTGGAGAGATGAAATCTGTCCAATTTCCCCTATAAAATGCTAAGTGGCCGTGACCAAAAAGACGTTTGTACTGGCAAAACTATTGGCTGGGATTCTGTTGGGCACCAGCATGGCATAAGGTTCCACCAATGCAGTCGTGCAGAATCTCCCATGCATGCAAGCATTGGTAAACACACAAGCAGAGATCCCCCCCCTTGTGAACAGTCAATTTATCTTTATGAAACGATTTGAGTATCTCCAAGAAAGTGAAATATAAACTGCCTATTTCCATCTGTGGTGGATTGCTCAGCTGTGTACCTATCTTGATGTTGAGGTGCTCACAACTCTGTTGATGTTGAGGCGCTCACCACTCTGGTCCGCGCATTTGTAATCTCGAGATTAGACTACTGTAATGTGCTCTATGTGGGGCTACCTTTGAGATTGATGTGGAAGCGTCAAATGGTGCAAAACGCGGTAGCCAGACTTCTCAGTGGGACTAGAAAATATCAGCATATTTCCCCCCACTCTGGCTGCCTTGTATTAGCTGCCCGTTCATTTCTGCAGCCCCCACTCTGGCTGCCTTGTATTGACTGCCCGTTTGTTTCCGCATGGATTTCAAAGTGTTAATGATGACATATAAAAGCCTAAACTGTTTAGGGCCTCAATATCCGGCAGAGTGCCTCCTCCCACCTAAATCTATCCGAATCACTCGTTCTAGCCAGGAAGGGCAGCTGAGGGGCCTGACGCCAAGGGAGGCCTGGAGAGAAAGAACAAGAAACTGAGCCTTCTCGGCAGTGGCCCCTCGTCTCTGGAACAGTCTGCCTTCAGAAATTTGTCTGGCTCCCTTGCTGGGTGCTTTTACCATGTTTCACTAAAAATAAAACAGGGTCTTATATTAATTTTTGCTCCAAAAACGCATTAGGGCTTATTTTTAGGGGAAGCTTTATTTTTTTCATATACAACCATCTACATTTATTAAAATACAGTCATGTCATCTTTTGGTTGCTGCACAATGGTGGAGGGCGGGGTTTCACTTAACTGGGGCTTATTTTTGGGGTAGGCCTTATATTACGAGCATCCTGAAAAATCATACTAGGGCTTATTTTCAGGGAAACACAGTAGAAAGGGAGAAGAAGTGGGGGAAATGTTTTTTTTTTCAATTACTTGCATCACTTTAAAAAAAGACACCTAGAAAACTTTCTCCTGAAAGTGGAAGGAAACAGAAGGGGGTGATGTGGGGGATTTTTGTGTGCTTCTCTCTTTTGTGTGCTTCTCTCTCATCAAGAACCTGCCCGATTTGGTTTGATGAACTATGACCCCATTTAACTTAATAGCAAATGTAGCAGATATTAATCCTAGATACCTCCTGGATGAGCTAGACTTAGCCTCAGAAAAAACAGGTGATCCATCCTCACCTTTGACTACACATTGAGATGCTGAAGGGATTCAACCAGTCGTGGTGTGTGCCAATCAAATAACAATGGTGAAGGCAGCTACTTACCTAGCCACGTCAGCTCCTTCTCTATAAGTCCAATAAATAAATAAATAAATAAATAAATAAATAAATGTAGTCTGCAGCAATAGAAATCAATGCAGATATTAATCCTAGATACCTTCTGGATGAGCCAGACTTAGCCTCAGAAAAATAGGTGATCCATCCTCACCTTTGACTACACATTGAGATGCTGAAGGGATTCAACCAGTCGTGGTGTGTGCCAATCAAATAACAATGGTGAAGGCAGCTACTTACCTAGCCACGTCAGCTCCTTCTCCTTCTCTCAGTTTGTCAGTGTAAAGACTGAAATCCAGTAGTAAGTTACAACTAGAGTATGCCCATTGAATAGGTGGGGATTTGACTCAATTCTTCCATAATTTCCATTGATTCAGTGGGCCTAATTTAGTTGCAAGTTACTTCTGGATTTCAGCCACTGAATCTGCATGATTCTACTTGCATATTTGTATAATGTAATAAAAGGTAACAGAGCACTTTTGTTGATGAAAAAGCTCTTCTGTGGATGTTGAATTGGAACTCTTGGTCAGATAATTCCACCCCCCAAAACCTAGTATTTACCACTGTTGTCTTAACATAAACCACCTTATTTGGATGGGTAAGTGCAGGTTTTTCATACTCTTGAATACAGAATCATCATGAATTTGAAACAAACAAATAAAAGGTAACAGAGCACTTTTGTTGATTAAAAAGCTGTTCTATGGATGTTGAATTGGAACACCCCCCAAAACCTAGTATTTACCACTGTTGTCTTAACATAAACCACCTTATTTGGATGGGTAAGCGCAGCAGGTTTTTTCATACTCTTGAATACAGAATCATCATGAATTTGAAACAAACATGTTTGCTTTGACATATGAAGCTGAATTATATTATAAATCATAATTTCTTTTTTCCTTCTCCTAGGATATGCGAGAGGGTCAAGTGCTTCAACTTCAAATGCCTGTACATTGTCAGCCATCAGCACAATAATGATTTCCCTCACAGCCAGATCAAGTCTATGACAAAAAAAAAATCTGAAGGACTTCCTGTTTATGATATAACTAAGCAACATTTAGCTAGTTGTTTTGAAGACACCCAGTACTAAGTAATATTGTTGTTCAAGTACATCTTACTACTGGAAAAAAATGTTTTATGCTTCTCTAGGAATGGCATTATATTGTACTTCCTCAAAGCAAATATAGCTTTGTCTGAAGTTTCCTTGGAAACTCCGCAATGCACTGAAAACATCTGTAATATGATGTTACCAAAGCAGTTTACATATGTCCTTATATGCATATTTTTTATTATATATTTAGTGTTTTATAGACTTTTTTAAAGTTAACATAATGATGTAGATATTAATTTCTTTTCTCCTCTGCTATGAAATGCTACTGATGACATTAACATTGCAAATATATATATTATTTCGGAATGTTTAAATGGCCAGAAGGTCGTGGTTCTCAGTAAATTGGTTTCATATTGATTGTATAGTTTTACAGGAGTGCACACTGACTGATTTCTGTTGGCTTTGATTCATCCGTGACAGCCTCTGGACACAGACAGGATGGAATCTCCATAGGCATTCCATATCTCCCCTCTCTTTCCTCCTTGCCTTGGCCCTCATGTTTGCTGCAGCTGTTTAAGGTGCATACTGGTGCAGTAACATGATACGGGAGATAGCCTAAGATACCCTTCATGTTGTTATGTAATGACTCACTCCTCCTCAGGTCCAAGAGCATAGGCCATTCCCACAAAGAGGAGATAGGAGTGTGCTATTTTGTGACTGTTAAGTCAGGAGTGCTCTAAGGCAGTGGTCCCCAACCTTGAGTAACCCAGGTGTTCTTGGACTTCAACTCCCAGAGACTCAAACCAGCACAACTGGTGGTGCAGGCTTCTGGGAACTGCAGTCCAAGAATATCTGGGTAACCCAAGGTTGAAATACCACTGCTCTTAAGGTGTAGATTTCCTCCCCTGGAAGGGGCCTAGACTCAGTGATCTTGGGCTCCCTTCAAGCTCTACCCTTCTATGATTCTATATCCCTGCCACAGCAGGAGAGCCAACTGAGGGCTGGGGGAGGGAAGTAAAGAGGAAATGCCTTTGAAGATCCCCTCTGTGTAGAGAAGGGGGCTGACTAAGCTGCTGTTAGGATGATCTTGCTTATATCTACGTATTATTTTTCCCATATAAGGTTTCATTTTTGATTCATGATTAAATGAAAATGTATTTGCTTTTAAGTTACTGTAAATCAACTGCATATCTGATACATTGATGATGCTTAGCAAGATTTCATTTGAATGTACCGATTTACCTTTCTTTAGCATTTAACGAACATTAAATTGATGTTGATTCCATTTTGCTGTAATCGTTCCTATAGTAATGCGGGAGAGACATTCCTATAGCAAGGAATACAATTCTGAATGTGGTGAAGATCTGAAAATCTACCAATTGGATGGTATAATTCTGGACTCATTTTCATCAGGAAGGTCTGTGCCTGGGAGACTTTAAATGAAGAACAATTCTGCTGATTTTTTTTTGTCTGAATATAGATTTCTTTTGACAGGTATTTGTCTACTGTAATTCTCTTTAGGTTGGTTTCATAAACTAAATTACAATATTACCTGTGTTTATATTATCTTGTTTGATAATTGGGCATAAGCAAAATGTAATAATATTCCAGTGAACACTTCTCCAAAAGGCCTTGTTCCATTAAAAAAACACCATATATACAGTGTGTCTGGGTTTCTCTATGCCCTTCCATTTGGCTTCTTTATTTTAAGATTTCAATGACTCTTAGCTATTTGCTAGCACGATTGAAATCTGCAGTCTTCTGTACTGAAGATCAAGGTTACATTCCTTGACTAGGTCATCATAGTTTAGCATGTTGATAAAATTCCATTCAGATATGACAATGAGTGTAGTCTGTCATGAATTTTTCTTGTGCAGCCACCTTTCATTCCAATAAAATTTGTGGTGGAGCAGAGCTTGGTGAATGCCCCAATCCAGTGACTTGAGTGTGTATGCAGTGGTTTTCACGCACCCATGAAGTTCTGCAAAAGCTGTGCAGAACTCCATCTGTGCACCAGCATCCAACAGTACTGGATTGTGGCCAACATTTATAAGAAAAAAATATATTAATATAAAGAGGTTTGTTACTACAGGAAATTTTTGTATGTATCTTCAGATGGATCAATAATTAAAGGTAATGAACTTTTCTATTAAGTTTTCCCAAGCTTAAAAATGCACTGCAGAGGTTTATAATTTGTTCTTCCTGATAGCTGAAATTTGCCTGTAACTTGTCTGTTTTGCTTCCAGAACAATACAAACTAACTTTTAAACCTTTCAAAAATATATTTATTAAGTAACTCATAATCAGGATTCCACTTGTGTAAGTCAGGGGTGTTAACCAGAGAAATATTGTCAGTATTTCAAGCTGTGTTCCTTTCTTAGTTTGATATGGCTACTTCTATGTAAAAACAAAAACAAAAACGCAAAAAAACACAAAAGAAAGAAAATGAAAGAAAAAAAAGCTTATGTAGTTTTTTTCTCCCCAGTGTAAATGATATTTATCAGTGATCTAGCAGATGTAATCTTTTTTAAAGTTATTGGTAATAAATATTCTGTTATTTGTAAACATTCTAATCTTCAGGAGCATTTTTCCTATATTCTTGAGCTGTGATTCTGTGAGTGAGTGAGTGAGTGAGTGAGTGAGTGAGTGAGTGAGTGAGTGAGTGAGTGAGTGAGTGTTTAGCATCTGTGGACTAAGGAAATGTTTCAGTAGTCCAAGATGAGTGACAATATTCTCAGGGCCAAACGAGATGGCTTAATTAAAATGCAAAGTAACTATAAAATAAATTTTAATGTCAGGTCCATTTTGAAATAAAATGTCATGACACTGATGCCATTGGGGAAATAACGGAGGACGTGCCTTCCCCTTTGCAGGCCACTTTGCCAGAAGCCCCTCCTCTGCAATTTCATAATTTCCTAATATACCTACAGCTCCTCTGTCCCCCATGTGTATGTATGTTTGTGATAAGCAATAACAATATTTGGAATTATTATAGGAATGACATCTAAAATAGGATATTTATTTATTTATTTTATATCCCGCCTATCTAGCCACTTAAGGCCACTCTAGGCGGCTTACAACAAGTGCAATTACAATAAAATTAAGACAATTTTAAATATGGGGAAAACTTAGACGAAAAGGGACAAAGACGAAGGGAGAGGAGAAAGAGGAAAGATCAGGGAATGGCTGAAGGGAAGGCCTGCCGAAACATCAGTGTTTTTAATTGATTTTTAAAAATACCCAGCGAGGGAGCCGTGCGAATGTCAGGGGGAAGGTTATTCCAGAGGCGAGAAGGCCCGATTTCTTGTCTTTTCTTTCCGGGCCTCCCTCGGCGTTAGGCTCCTCAGCCTCACCTCCTGACTCGCACGAATGACATGGGTAGAACTTGGTGGAAGTAGGCGATCTGCCAAGTATTGAGGCCCTAAGCCATTTAGGGCTTTGTACGTAAGCATCAACACTTTGAAGTCGATATGCAGGATGCTATGCTATGCTTACAATATGCTAGGGAGAGACAGGTGAAAGACCATGGACTAATGTCCTCCTAAGGCAGGGGCGTGCAATTAATTTCTATAGGGAGCCATATGAAAAATCTGAACTGTGTTCGGGGGCCAAACCAACTTTACTTAAAAATAAAAGATAAGCAACTGATCAACTTTAGACAAAAAGTTAAAAATGGTTTTGATGTTCAACTTGTTCAGTGAGAGAAATCCAGTCTGGAGCGATGACCAGCGGGCAGGACAGGAGCAGCTCGCGGGCCGTATGTGGCCCTCAGGCTGCACTTTGCCCAGGCCTGTCCACCAAAGAGGAGACAGAACAGTGAGCCAGGAGTAGAAATTCACAATTCCTAACTCTCCGACTCTGCCACTTCTCTCTCTGGGCTTCCTTTGTGCAATGCATTGTTGCACCATTTTCTCTTTCCATGCCACAAAATGGTTGCTGACGTCTTTTCTGGGGCTATTTAGAACCACAGAAATATTTCCAGAATTTATTAATATCTGTGTTGCTTACAACACTGTCAAGAGCTGTCACGTAGTTCTTGCTTATAGGTCTTGCTTAATGCCACCATCAGATAAATTTAAAAGTGAGAAAGGAAGGTAACTCTAAACGTTGGTTACAAGAACAGCTGAGTACGGTACAAGATACAGCTGTGACAGTTTGCTGGGTTCAGAGAACCCTCTCGTAACTGCTCAACCATACTACCCTACTGATCCTAAAATGGGTAAGCCCAAGAGAGAGAAATGTGATGACTAGAGAACCTGTCTGGCCCTGGTGCTTCCCAACACTACCCAGTCTACCCAGAGTGGACAGTACATCCAGGGAGTCCAAAAATCCACAAGGCTAGGCACGCAGAACCACTAATTTACCTAATACAGTACACATCAGCATAACATCAACATGGTTTTGGAGCCACAGACTGCATCCTTCCCAGAACAGCGTAACAGTTCTCAGGTAATCTCCACCTGGATGTTAATAACACTAAAACTCCAGTGGCTGACTTTCATTTTCATATATGAGACATTACTCATTATTAATATTCGTAATCAGTAGCACAAACATACCATTAATCTTGGGTTTTATTTATCATAATAATGATGGTGGGAGAAAATACTTCAGAGCAGATTACAGTGTGCACCAAAATATGTGGAGAACAGTCTCTATAATCTGCCTTATTTGTGTCTCAGAAAAGCCAGCACCATTTTTCCCCTCTGGAGGTCCAAAAAGGGCAGAAGCCATAGAATCATAGAGTTGGAAGGGGCCTATAAGACCATTGGGACTAAGCTCCTGCTCAATGCACGAATCCAAATCAAAATATATCTTGGCAGATGGCTAATTTTCTCTTGAATGCCTAAGCACTGAAGCACTCACCACCTCTTAAAGTAATTGGTTCCATTCCATCCTTATTAAGTAATCCACTTCTTGATCTTCACAGCTGTGACTGGTTAAAAAGTATTCTACAAAACACAATACAAGCAACAGCTGCAGGTAGAATCAAACTGCACTTTAAACTTTTGATTTGTGGTCATGCAACACTTCTGCTACACAACTGTAAGAAACAGATTAGTACAGGTAAAGGTTAACCACTTACAGATGTTTTATAGGCCCCTTCCAACTATATGATTCTTTGGTTCTACATGGTGGCATTGCTTGCCAAAGTTGGTCCAGATTATGACCCCTCTGTGGAGGATAATATGCAGCACAGCAGCCATTTAAGGAGGTAACTGATGTCAATTGCCCCAGTTCAAGGGGTTCTTGCACACTGGAGAATGTTACCTCAACTGACACAAGTTGCTGTAAGAGCGAAGGGCCTAACAAGAATGCTGTGTGCAAGACCCCTTGGTTTCTTTGAAAAGCTCAATGTGACTCCTATGTATATCACACAATTGTTGACTAACTGAGCAGCCCATATTTAGACCATGATTCTGCTTCTGGCTTCTGTCCACAACTGTAATGCTTGTCATTCATTATATGGTAAATTCAAGCAATAGCTTCATACCAAAGACCAAAAAGAAAATACTAAAGACCAAAAAACATCTCTCCCCAAATTACGCTGTGGGACACTGCCATCTTCCTGTACTGGAATCCAACTTAGTATACAGTATTCTTATATAAAATCTCATTTTGTTTGGGTTGGCATTCAGAAAATATCCTCTAACCTATGGCAACACTGGTTGGCTAGATAGGAGTCATTCATCCATACTTTGTTTCAAGATTCTGGAGGTT